AGGCCAGGTTGGACACAGGGGCTTGGAGCAACCTGGTCTAGTGGAAGGTGTCCCTGCCTGTGGCAGGGGTTGGAACTGGATGATCTCTAAGGTCCCTTCCAACACAAACCAGGCTGGGATTCCATGAAGTTCATCTTGGAAATGGTTTAAATTTAGGAAGAAGTTGGAGAAAGAGAAGCAGAAAAAGTCAAGGAGTCAAAATGTGGTGTTTTCACAAGGAACTTGCAAAAAAGTTCTCTCTCTCCGTGAATACTGGTGGGTGTTGAGTGGCTGATTTCTTTCTATTCCTTTTTTCCTTGACACTTGGTATTTCATAGGGGTATCCCAGGGGAAGATCCAAAGCAGAGACAAACCCAGCCTTTGTTCTAACAGCTTTAAGGATGTGCCAGTTCTCATGCAGGTGATACACAAAAGCACTTGGTTACTTAGCATGTGGCTGTCTTCTCTCTACACCAACACAGAGCTGGTGGTCTTGCATAATCTAAGGGTTTACTGTGGTTTTTGGAGGTTTCTGTGGTCAGTTAAGGCACGTTGAGTTCAGTTGCTGCAAATTCTTGCTTCAGCAGTCAGTGCTCTGCAGCTGGGATTTCCTTTCCAGAATTTCCTGGGCCTGTGTTGAAGTTTCATTCTTTGCTATCCCTCCAGTGCTTTTGGAAGTGTCAGAAAGCAGCTTTCCAACTCTCCTGAATGTTTTTTCCTTAGTTTCCAATCTGGCAAAGCCTGGTACCTTTGCTGGCAACGATGCTATTGTGGCCTTTGCAAGGAACAACCAAATGAACGTGGTTATTCATCAGCTCAACGCTCCGCTCTGGCAGGTGAGAAACCAAACCTCTACAGTTTGGCCTAATTTTTAGCTGATGACTGAATAGTGTTAAAACTTGATTTATTAGAAGAAAGCAGTCAGAAGCTGTGCTTAGCTGGGCAGGGTGTAGAGCTGAGCTGGGTTTTCAACCCTGGGAGGGGGAAACACTCCAGGTTCTGAGAGGGAATGAAAGAAAACAATGAATGCATGGGAAGTGAGTGTGGTGACAGAGCAGTGTGTTTAGTTTGGTTTTAAGCTACTGGCTTCAGTGGTATGTTTCTGTCCCCTGCAGATCAGACTGTGCATGACATGGCTTTTGTGATAGGAATTTGGGTGAGGTTCAAGGAAGCCTCTGTATAGTAAGGTTCAGGAATAGGGAAGTGGAGATGTCGCAGGACAGTCCTTGCAGCGTGTTGGGATGAAGCTCCATCTGTTCTGCATGGGTTTGGAATCAGGAGGTTTCTGACAGGTTCTGGGCTGGGCAGAAGAGGGAAGATGTTTTAAATGTTCTTAAGATGTTTTAAATGTTCTTAAGATGTTTTAAGATGTCTTCAGGCAGTGTTTAATCAGCTTCTGGAAGGGACTGTGCAGTGTGGTTTCCTCTGGCAGTGGCACTGGGACAAGTGATCCACCAGGTCCCTCCTGTTCCCCTTTCGTTGCTTTATGTGTGGAATGGGTCCACACTCGATCTTTGTGTGTTCCCTGAGCAAGTGAGAACCTGTTTTCAAGTCAGGATTGTGTCTGACCCCAATTTACAGACAGAACCAAAGCAGTACATAGATTAAACAGGGCAATAAAGATAAAAGACCAGAGGGAAGCTCTCAGTGGTGTCTTAAATACGTCTGAAACAGCGTCAGGTGGATTCCAGAACCCAGATGAGTTTGAACTCTTTATTTCTATGGCAGCCATGGGCAGTAAGACAAATAATACTCAACTGCTTGACCTGCAAGTGTATGGAGGTGGTGACCCTGCAGGAGAGTTCCTGGGGCTACAGTTCATGTTCTGTTACTGTTTTGAACTGTACTTAACTCTTACCAGTATTTTTTCATGTCCTTTTGAGTAACTTAAACTCTTTCTGTCCTCCCCCATTCATTGACCATTCCAGGGTTGGAAATACAGAGTTTGTGGTGAGGTTCTGTTTTGCCTGAGTGTAGTCTTGTAGTGAAGGGTTGTCTTAGGCTCGAGAATGGTGTTGGTAGAGACCCATTAGTAGCTGGAACATAGAGTCTCCAGCCTGCACAGAGGATACATCAGGACATCACAACATGGTGACAGCGTTAGCAAGTTGCTAGACTTGACTAACCCAGGACACCCTTTTCTCTTAATTTTCTGTACTTTGATATTTTCCCCCCTTTCTCTCTCTGGAGCCCCAGTGAAACGTTAGAAAGATTAGATTCCAAAGAGAGCATTTCCAGACAGGCAGCTCAGGAAGGTGCTGTGAATATCTGCTTTGGTCCCAGCTCTAAAGCAGATGGTGAGTTATCCTTTAAAAGCACTGTTTGTACCCACTACAGAAGAGCTGGAATATTCAGAGCTCTGACTTAACCAGAAGCTCATGGGAGGTGGCATCTCCACGTGGGCTTCTTAGGGCTTTAAACACCCTTTACCTTTTCTGATAGTGACTGTAAATGCAGAGCTTCAGATCAGTCCAGATGTCTAGATTATTTTATTGACTTTTTGGATAATTCTCTATCTTCTTTCAGTGCTTGTTCCATTTTTTTATCTGCAGCATCTTTTACTTACAGTTCCAGTGTGTTGTGGAAAGAGGCTTCACTGCTGAGAGCAAAATGGGCTGATTTTCAGGATAATCTTGCAAGAGCTTTGGGGTGGGTTTAGATACCTGTTGAGGCTCTGGCAGAGGAGAAATGTTGAGAATAAATCTTTACTGAGTTCCAACATGTTGAATAAGTTTGTAGGATAAAAGGCAGGAGGGAAGTCTAAGTATTGAGTTGGAACTTAAAGGTGAGCAAGTGTAAACCAGATGAATGGAGAATGTCTGTTTTGCAATCTGAAGCTGTTAGTGCAGCACAAAGGCTGAAAGGTGACTTGGTGTGTGTTCTGTAAGTGGGATGAGCTGATTGAAGGATGAGGAAGGATTGGGAAATTCTGGAGCCCTAAAGCTAAGTGTTACTTGTCGCTTGCTTGCTGCTGTCTTCTCCAGGAGAGCTGTCAGATCTTTGAACTCCTGGCAGGAAAGCAGAGATCTGCAAACCCAGGGGAATTTTCTGTGTCCTTGCAGCAGTTGGAACACTCTGTAGCTCTTAGCTGTTGGTTTGAGACATGACAATCAGGGTAGGAACTATTCTTGCATCAGTACAGATAACAGAGCAGGAATTCTTTATGGAAGCTGCTGTACTTGCTGCTGATGAAAAAGGAAGAGGCATTGGACATTCAATGGGAGCTGTCAGTGAAACATGAGCAGAAAACTCGTGGGAAGTTTAGAAACTACTTCTGAGCTTTCCACTGAAATATTTCCACACCATGTTTGGTTTGTTATGATGTAACTGGCTCAACATTGTGTATCTGGCTTCAAACGTCAGCCTTGAGCCTCTCTGTGCTCCCTGAGGCACATCTGGATTATTAGATCAGCTCTTCCTGTTTAAAGATGCTTCAGTAGCTCCATACTTTGCTGCCATCACACTGTTTATCCTTCACTTCGGAAAATGAACACTTGCCAAATGCAATGCTCATGTCAATCCCAAATCCTTCTTTGCACTTGCTTTCCTTTCTTTAGATTCGTGGCACAGACAAAAGCAACGCAAGGGAGCTGCACATTGCGTATCGCGACGGAGAGCACTACGACAGCGTGAGGAGGATCAACGATGATTCTGAAGCTCCAGCGTATCTTCAGATGGAGGTTGGTTATGACAGAATGACCCAAGTCGGCAGAGGGTGATAAATAAACCGGTTTCAGTTGATTTCCTTTCTCGTTTGCATTGAGATTGTGCCATGAGTTTGGTCCCTGTGTTGTGCTGGAGAGAGAAAAGCCCCTCAGGCTGTTGTCACTGGAGCTGCCTGCTCTCCTGAGACAGGCTGTGAGGTGTTTCAGTTACTGGGCTGGAAATCAATCCTGAATCTGATACTGTGATGTGGGCTGTAGGTGTCTTGAAGCAACTTCACCTAAATAACACACTTGTGCACCTCAAAAGCAAAAACAAAGGGAAGGGAGAAAAGGGCTGGAAATCATAGAATCCATAGAAACAGAATGGTTTGGGCTGAAGGGAGCTTAAAGCTCATCCAGTTCCAACCCCTGCCATGGGCAGGGACACCTTCCCCTAGAGCAGGTTACTCCAAGCCCCTGTGTCCAACCTGGCCTTGAACACTGCCAGGGATGGGGCAGCCACAGCTTCCCTGGGCACCCTGTGCCAGCACCTCAGCACCCTCCCAGGGAAGAGCTTCTGCCTCAGAGCTCATCTCAGTCTTCCCTCTGGCAGGTTAAAGCCATTCCCCTTGTCCTGTCCCTCCAGGCCCTTGTCCAAAGCCCCTCTCCAGGTTTCCTGGAGCCCCTTTAGGCACTGGAGCTGCTCTAAGGTCTTCCCAGAGCCTTCCTTCCCTTCAGGCTGGGAGGTTCTCAGCACATAACTACATAATTTGGGATAGTATAATAAAATTAATACTTCATTTTAAAAGCCAGTGATTGTTTGGTAGTATCCATGATCCTGCAGTACATGAGAGCTTCCTCAGTGAGAAACAGCATCAGTGATGGTGGAAGTCACACAATTTCCAAGATGCTTTGACCCAGGATATGTGTGCCATAATAATTAAAACTATTCTGATGTCAACTGTTTTGTTTCACTGCATATGATGAAATTACTGCATGTTTGTGTCATCTTGGTTTTGCTTTTCTTGCAGCTGCTTTGCAAAAATGATTCGGGTACAAAGGAGGAAGTGAAGCCACAGAAGGGAGACTCTGAAGACGAGATTGAGGTTGAGATGGAAGATGCTATACAAGAAGTGTGCAATGCAACTGGATGTTCAGTGAGTATTGAGCAGCCGTTTTGTGCTTAGTGTTCAAACCTTCTTGATAAAATGCTACAAAATGCTCCTCTTTGAAACATTTAAGTACCACAGCCATAAATCAAGATGTATTTCATCCTGGACTCAACCCTCAAATGCAGATGACATATGTGCTCTGTGTGGATAGCTGATCATTTTGGATGGTTTGTCTGCAGTCTCTCAGAAAATTCACTTTGAAACAAGTTCTGTAAGATTTGAAATCCTTGTAACCTTCCAGTGTCTGAAGGGGGCTACAAGGATGCTGGAGAGGGACCTTCATCAGGGACTGGAGTGATAGGACAGGGGATGATGGGTTCAGACTGGAACAGGGGAAGTTCAGGTTGGAGATAAGGCAAAAGTTCTTCTATAATCCTAAGAAATCCTCTGAGGATGTCTGTAATTGGAACATCCCAATGACTAGATGGTCTTTGGGTCTCAGCCTCTGTGGTTCCTGCAGGTTGCTGCTTGCACTGTGTGAATGCACAGAACAGACAAGGCCACAAGTGAAACAGTTACACTGAAACTGATGTCTTCCCCTCACCTCTTTCAGGAATGGAATAGGGGCTAGTTCAAAGGCCATAAAAGCAGAGAGCAGCACTTCTCAGTGGTGCAGGTGGTTGTTAAATGAATGTAGGTCAGTGATTTGAACTCTTCAGTATTAATCTTTCTCCTCTTGTGGACAGGACATTGACTTAGTAAGCCACGTTCTAGAAGTGGAAGACTACAATGTAGAATCTGCCATCTTTGCCATCCTTCAAATGAATGAAGTGAAGAGAATCAGTAAGTACATGGAGTTTGTCACCTGGTACTTCAGAAGAACACTGTTTGATGTCAGTGTTGACTGTCAACAGCAGTTCAACAGGGGCAGCAGCAGCTGAGGCTCAGTGTTGGCTGTGCTGCCTCCTCAGCCTCCCAGCGCTCAGGACGGTTATTAGCGAGGGCAGGTTCAGTCCATGTCCTAAAGCCATCCTGTTCCAGAAATTCCAGAGGAAGGAATTGGCTGACAGGGAGGCGGCCTCTGAGCAGAGTGTGTGTGTTGTTGGTAGGTACTGAGGAACAGCACGATCCCCAGGGCACAGCTCCGGAAGTGCACAGCCGAACTCAGGGGGAAGAAAACGGAACTGGTTCAAGAATCTTTGGAAATCAGAGCTTACATCAAGGGGAAATAGAAAACCACAAGGGACAGCCTAGATCCTCCAAAGAGAATCGAGCTAGCAGAAACCCAAAGGTATGTGAAGGGTGGTTTGCCAGGGATTTACACGCCCCTTATGATTAGAGGAATGCTTTGGGTTGCTTAATCAGCAACTGTCTTCCCTTTGAATTAAAACCAGCTTCTCCTTACTGGGTTTTGTTGCTGCTACAGCTGTGACTTCTCTGACACAAACATTTAATAGAGACGTGTTGCTTTCCCCAAAATGCCACAAGATAAAGTCCTGATAAGTAGTTTGGAATAAACGTTCTCTGGCAGCTGCTTTGCTGCGTGCTTATCTCCTTTCCGGTGTATTATTTTCCCCCACTGAGCAGAAGCTGTGTGTTTTCAACTTAGTGTTTTCATCCTTCCCTTTCAGGCATCTAAAAAACAAAAGAAGGAGCAGCAGAGACTAGAGAAGAAGAAGAGGCAGGAAGAGAGGCACCGACAAAAGGTCTCAGGCAACAAAAGTAACTGTCCAGTTAGTGGCAGGGGGGGGACGGGGACCACAGAAGGCCATAGGAGCTCTAAACATATGACTGAATGTGTTCCGTGTGCTCTGGTGAGAAAAGCAAATAAAACTGAGGAAGACAATGTGCCCTCAAGCAGATTTCCAAGAACTCCTTGTTATCTGTTGCTGCGGAGATCTCTAAGCACACATGAACTTCCTGCTTCCTCAGTTGCGGGGCAGTAATTCTGCATCAACCTGTGTGTGAGAAGAGTTGTTTGAACTTAACAAAAAGTAGAGACTTGGGTGTATGATTCTGGAGTTAGATGAAGGTGAGAACCATTTCTTCACCCAACAGTCAGGTTTGCTTTCACACCTCTTGATGTGCTGAGATTATTTATTTTTAAAGTAACTTTCTACTTGGCTACATTTGGAGGAGCTTTATTTTATCTTGCTGTCAGGGAAAGCTTAACAGTTCTCAACTCAGGGGTTTGGTTTCTCTTCTTTTCCTATTTAAATAAAGCAAACAGAATCCTAGAATCCTTTCCAAACTGAAGTGTGTCAGCCAGCACCATGTCAACCACGACATTCCTCTTTGCTTTCCCATGCAAGAATGCAGGGATGAGTTTAACTAGAACTGCTTGTGTTGCACTAGGCTGTTGGAGAAGTGATTAATACATGAAGGGAGAATGGGATTGCTGCATCCAGTTTGAGATCAGCTCATGAGTACAGTAATACCAGTGGACTCCTGAGACCACAGAGCCAGTTCATCCCTGATGAGGTTGTAAAACACAACATGAGCAGGCATGGGATTCCTGTTGAGTGTTATTATTTGGACACTGGGAATCTCATCTCCTTTGCCATACTCTGGAGCTTTTGAGCTACTCCAGAGCTTTAGTCCAAGCCAGGAACTTGATAGTTGTTGGTCTTCAAATGGAGTTAATGTAGCCAAAGGCCTGGGAACAAGGTTCCAAGTAGCAGCACTCACTGGGAACCCTGCCTGCTTTGCTCTTCATAAATCAGGCTTTTTCCAGAGTAGGATGTTTTCATCTTAAACTCCTCTTTGGTAAGTTCACTGAGTTCCATAGGATGTACAGCCCGAATCCTGTGATGCTTTCCACTGTGGGATTGTGAATTTGGGCTGAAGTGTGAGGACCATGGGACTTGGCCCTTGGTTTATGGCTGTGGTTTTTCAGCTTCACTCTGGTTTTTGGGTCAAGCATTAAGCTTGAAGGAAGCACAGCAGATAACAGGAGGCACCTCATCAGCCAGGGCAGAGATTAGACATCTTTTTGAAAGTAAGGAATGCTGCTTTTGAAAATATTCCGCGTGTTCTCTCAAGTTTCCAGATCAGCACAGAAATACAAATGCCTTTTCTGACCGAACTGCCAAGATCTGAGCTAGTACTTCTTTCATATGCTCTGCTACTGTTTATCAAGAGCAGATGGAGAACAGAAAGAAAGGAGCTCTAAGTACTGCTGCCATAGGAGAACAGGCTTTAATGCTGGTGAAGAAGTTCCTTTGGTTCCTGTAATGAGCTTGGTGGAAATAAAAAGTAACACAAAGCAGCTCTTCTGCTTTATGGTGGGACATAGTGTCTGGCAAGTGAAGCAGTGGGTTACGTGCTGCTCTGAGTGCCTGTGGTGGGCGTGAGGGAAGTCTGAGTAGGATTCTATAGGTGGGAAGAGTGTGGATGAGCCTTCAATTCACAGTACTGTTCTTACAGTGAAAAATGACTTAGGTAAAATCCGTTTCATGCCAGCCTTAGCCTGTGGTTAGCACTGTTGCTTCCTGGCATTCTTTTTCTCTAAGATGGTCCCTGTTACAGTAATGGAAAGAACCACAAGTCACATCTTGGAGGGAGAGAGCAGGAGTTGCTTCACCTGTGTGAGGAGCTGAGGACAGCCAGGTAATTCAGGTGAACGTGTCACCTTTGTCTTGCCCAGCTGTGTTTTGCTTTGCAGGTGGGTTCTGCAAGTCTGAAAAGATAAGAATGTGCAGTTGTAGGATGTTTGATCTTAATGAATTGCTTTTTTGTCTTCCTGATGCAGAGCTGATAAAAGGATTATTGTTGCTTGGAGCCTGAAGAGCCATGAGGGGAGTTATCCTGTAGGCAGCAGGAAGGAAGCTGAGCTTTCCAATGTGTGAAGGGACCTGCAAAACTCTCCATGCCCAGGGTAAACAGGTGAGCCTGCAAGAGCAACACCTCTTAAATAGCAAAGGGAGATGCTGACCTTCAGCTCATGGACACCTGTAACCAAATACGTGGCTGAAAATGCTTTAATTTCCACGTGTAATATGATTAAAATAAATTTTTCATGTGCTGGACTCCTCAGTCTTGTTAGACCAGTGCAATTCTCTTTGTTTTTGCCAGGATAACTTTGTACCTGCACAGACGTTCTGTATCCAAAGATGTTACAAACCAGACAGGATGAAAGTTTTGTCTTTCCTTAAGCTGCTGACATTTCCCCCTGCCCTTTTGACATGTATTTTTTCTAGGGAATGCTTATGCAATGTTCCTCAGGGATTTGTGCAGAGATTTTCCTTTGTAAACAGGTCATAGATTTCTCCTTGCAGGAGGAAGGGAGGCGAGGAACATCCTGATTCATAGCTGGTGTTTACTCTTTGGTGGAGCTGTGCTTTGTAACATGTGGTCATCGCACAGGCAGCCCTGCGTGTTCCCTGGGTGCTGGAGGATTGCTGCTGCTTCCCAGCTGCTGGATGACATCTTTGAGGGTCACGGGTGGGCAGAGGGCCAGGCCTGTGCTCTCAGTGCTGCTGGGCCTGCGCTGTCACTGGCAGCCTCTTGAAGGTGAGGAGGTGGCAGGACAGAGCAGAAAGCTGATTTCCCACATCCCATCAACCACCATCCTTCCTAGAGGGCCACAGAGGTGCTGCTGTGAGGGCTGGAGCAGCTCTGCTCTGGAGCCAGGCTGAGAGAGCTGGGCTGGGGCAGCTGGAGAAGAGAAGGCTCCTCAAGGGGACACCTTAGAGCAGCTCCAGTGCCTAAAGGGGCTCCAGGAAACCTGGAGAGGGGCTTGGAACAAGGGATGGAGGGACAGGACAAGGGGAATGGCTCTAACCTGCCAGAGGGGAGATTGAGATGAGCTCTTGGACAGAAGCTCTTCCCTGTGAGGGTGCTGAGGCGCTGGCACAGGGTGCCCAGAGAAGCTGTGGCTGCCCCAAGAGGAGCTGTGGCTGCCCCATCCCTGGCAGTGTTCAAGGCCAGGTTGGACACAGGGGCTTGGAGCAACCTGCTTTAGTGGAAGGTGTCCCTGCCCGTGGCAGGGGGTTGGAACTGGATGAGCTTTAAGCTCCCTTCAACACAAACCAGGCTGGGATCCTGTGGTTTACCCCCAGTTCTGCCTCTGCAGTTAAGGAGTTCCGTTGAACTGGAGGTTTGAAGCAGTTAGCCAGGTTCTATCTGGTCTCCGTAAGTGTGTCTTGTACTTGCTGCATGTGTGAGGGCTGTTCTGCTCGTGCCACTCAGGTTTCTGGTCTACCTTGTTCCTGCTCTGGTTTAAGTTTTGTATCATCTGCAGTGCCTCAAAGGCAGCAGAAGTCATGTCATCCCTCATATCCAGATCTGCAGGGCTTCCAACACTGCAGGAAAGGAGGGAATTTGTGCATGAAGAACAATCCACGCTGCAGTGTTGTATGAAACAGAGATAGGCTGTGCTCGTGCTGTGCAGTGGATGGAGCCTCTTTGGAGGCACAAACCTCAGAAGGCAGCATTGGCTTCATCTACAACTGCCTGACAGGAGGTTGTAGTGAGCTGGGGTCAGTCTCCAAGGGATGGGATAAGAGAAAATGGCCTCAAGCTGCCCCAGGGCAGGTTTAGCTGGAGCTGAGGAACAATTCCTTGCCCAGAGGGTGCTCAGGCATTGGAACAGGCTGCCCAGGGCAGTGCTGGAGTCACCATCCCTGTGAGTGTTCACAGCCCGTGTAGACAAGGCCTCAGTGCCAGGGGTCAGTGGTGACCTTGGCACTGCTGGGGAATGGTTGGACTTGATGAGCTTAAAGCTCTTTTCCAGTTGATTCTGTGATTCTGTGAGTTCTCTTCTCATCCCAAAGCCCTTGAGTGGCACCAAAAACTGAGTTAAAAGGAGAAACGGGTGCTTTGGAGTTACACCATGTTTCCATCGGAAGCATGAGGACGAGGTGGGGATGGTGCTCGTGATGCCGTGGAGCAGGTTAGCAGCCCTCAACGCTGAGGTAGAACTCCAACAAAACACCCTTAAATCACCTTTGGTTTAGGACCCCCAGCTGTGCAGAGCACCTCTCTGAGCTGGCATTAAAGCCCAGGTGCCTCCAGGTCTGCCTCGTTAGTGCTAATTGGGGATCACATAAAGCTGTGGGGAGGATGAGGAGGCCCCAGCCTGGGCAGACCTGCCTGGTTGTACCAGCTCCATGAGGACCTGCTGGAGACAGGGAAGGGGTGTCCCCTCTGCTCCTCCGAGGCTTCAGTGAGTATCCGTTACGTGAACAGCCGCGAGGAGCGG